CCCCAAAACCCCAAAACCCCAAAACCCCAAAACCCCTTACAAAATTCTCATAATTGATATTAGGAGAATAAAATTATAAAATTAGGTAAAAATGCTACAAAGTAAGATATTTTTAGTGAGCCAGATGATCAACTAATGGGTAGTCATTAGCATCAAACCTGAATTCTTCCTCATTTACTAGAGGTACTCTGCGGATTTTGGTAACTGCTTAGATTATTTTGAACATCCATTAATCATTTCAAAACTTCAGGTTGCTCTATCATGGAATGACTACCTTAGAAATCGCAGTTTCTTAGAAACATTGTTAATAGTAGAATATAACATAACCGTTGTTTAGAGAAAGAGAAGTCTAATTCAAATCAAGGCTTTGTTTCTACAATGAAAGATGCATTCTCAGACCAAAATTATAAAGTTGGAGATGCTTCAGCAGAGAGGCAAAAATTACGTCTTAAGAACACAAAGAATACCATTGTGTTTGGGATAGATAAGACTTCCTACTTCAAGAGGGGAGAAAATAAGGTGTTGACATCAGAATTGTCTCAATATTCAAAGGATGCTAAATAAGGCTGCTGATTCTGTAAAAGAGAAGCTAAGATCTCATAACTTCAAATTTGGCAGTCATCAAGTTGACTATACATTATCATCCCAAGGAGATAAGGATCCCAAGACTATCAAGGACGTGCCTAAGCCTGCTGCAAATAAATATAAAAACCACAAAATGTTTAATACCCAAAACCTTTTGCCCAAAACTCAGAGACTAAATTTTAGGAAATTAAAAAGCCAAAGAGAGAAGAATAATTTTGAGTCTGCAACTAAGAGTTATCACAAAAATCCTGAAGAACTTAGGAAAGACTCCCCTCATCTCCCACCAATGAATGTTAATAAAGATGACCTCAAGAAAAGTTCTATAAAGCTAGGAGAATCTGGGATAATTAGTGATCTTAATAACGGCCATGAAAGCAATATGAAAAGTTACTGGACAGCAAATAGACTTGAGCTAGAGAATTCCCTTATTAAAAAGAAAATGAACTCTCCTACTTTAAGAAATAGCAACATTTTAAAAACTAACTTTGAGCTTGGAGATCGTCAGAAATTACAGTTGTTAAATACTTCTAAAAGTGACGAATTTAAGGCTCTTAAAGTCTCTAAAGATATTAGAGAAAAAGACCAAGAAGTTCATGACTTCATGAGAAAGAAGAATGTGCATTTAGGATCAGTTGCAGATTTCAGCAACTCTGTTTCTAAAGATAGCTTTCCAACTCATAATAAAAACGATATTGATTCAGTAAATGGGAAGAATCCAACAAATAGGAACTTGATAAAGAGCATGCACTTTGGAAGCCCCAAAGGAATTAAAAAGATTGAGTCTAAGCTGTCTATGTATGGTGAGAAAATCACAAAAGATAACAATTCTGCTCAGGAAATGAATTTAAAGAATAAGTTACTTAAGAAACAACTACTTTCTCATGCATTTGATCTTGGATATCAAGAAGGCACACATAGAAGAAAGCCAAATGTTGATGTAGCTCAATATATGAGAAAATAATCCTACTAATCGCAATGAATCTAAATTCTTAAAAGAGAAGATTGAAAAACAGAACTTTCAATATAGCCAAGATCCAAGTGGAAGATATAACAGAGTCGAAAAAGGAAACCATCTTCTTCAGAGAAGATATTTGTCAACCGGAGGTAGAAGCTCAAATGATATAGATTATTGGAAGGCAAACTTTAGTTTCAATCAAGTCCCTTCTCAGATTGGGGCTGGATCTATGAATAGCTCCGTAGTTAATCAAAACTATCCCTCAATAAGAGCTAATAAGTCTGTAATTAGTGAAATTGGAAAATACTCCCAAGAACCCGATAAAAAGATGCAAGCTCAGAATAAGAAAAAATCAACAAAGTCTAATTTCCAGATTGGGTTTGAGAAAAATGATTTTGACACTTCCTATAAGAATCAGTACATGTGGAAGACTCGTGGAGCTAATGTATAATCTCATTTCAATAGCCTAATTTAGAGAAGGGGTTTTGGGGTTTTGGGGTTTTGGGGTTTTGGGGTTTTGGGG